TGTAAGCATTTAATAACTGAATTAGAAAACAAAAAACAAACAAAAAAGCCTCAGCCAATACACTACATAAGTAACAAGTCTAACTGCAGAAATGCTAGGGATGCTGTGTGCTTCTCTCTTTTTGATATCTTCTGTTTCTCTTTTAGGATTGTAGCGAGATTCCCCACTGTGAAGCCAAAAAAATAGCAATATTTCTCTGACTATAAAATAAACTTTTTTTCCTCAATGTTTGGAAAAACTATTATGGGAAATGAAGAAGAAAACCCTACAAGAACCAAAACCTCTGAACTTCCTTTAAGGAAGGTTTTCTTTATAAATAATCAACAAATTGGATAGTAGGCTGTTTTATCATAGCATATATTTCGACTTAGCACTAACTCTTTTCTTCATTAGTTAGTAGTGCACTGGTGAACATGTTTACCTTCTTTAATAACTTTAAACTTCTTGAGATAAAATATTATGCTTTATTTATTTTGTATTTCCTACAGCACCCTGTATATGTAGTACATTTTATTTAATTCTATAATACATGCTCCTTGCTTTTGTGAGAGATTAAATATTGGGTTAAAGATTTTTTTAATTAAAATTGATTAATTTAACTACTGCTATCTTAATAACAAACTCAATATGATCTCACATTGTTACCAAACCACTGCTGGTGATCTGATACAATTTGAAGGAAGTTTTCCAGACTAAAAAATCCTCATTAGTTGTCACTATGCCAGTTCCTCTCAAGCTATATGGCATCTCTAGCAGTTTTGCCTACTGTGCCTTGCCTAAACTTCTACATGTCAGTTAAGCTTCACAGGATTAGAATAAAAGGCTTGATCTAAATAATAGCAAATCACTGTATTTTGTAAATTTTGTCATTGCTACTTAACTGAGTCTACTGTGCCTTCTTCAAATTTGATTTCTCAAATTACTCAAAATCCAGGTCTTGACTTAATAAAGTAGGATGTAAGTGAGGTACATTTATATTCCTGATCCCTGGGTAAATTGTATTCCCAGAAGTTTTCTCACATTTGAGCCTTCATTTATGGGTCCTTACGAACTATCAGGACCTAAGCATTAGCTAGGTCTATATGCTACATATTCGATGCCCATGACACTTTTTGAAGTGGCAACCTACTATCTCTTTTCTTCTTTTCTTAAAACTACCAGTGCTCTGCATTTTTTATTAATATATTCACAGTCATCTCATGTTTCTCTGCTCTCCGAACCTGGATATTAGCCAAGCTCAAACTGAGCCTTGCTTGGCTTTGGGAAAACATAAAGCAAGCCTATGCATTCATTAAGACTGAGCAGTCTTTCCTGAGGGACTCTTGGAATTGCACCATGTAGAGTTAAGTCTGTCTGACCTGAATAGATATAAATGTCAAGTCTACTTCACGTTCACTTCAAGTCAAAAGAGTAGTAAAGGTGATCCCATTTATAGATTTAAAAAAAAATGGAATTGCTACCGTGTGTAGCTACCATTATGCACATGTATAGTGTATCCTTGATCTGATAGAAATAGCATCCCAACCTCAATGTCACAGGGGAGTCCTCCAACTTTAAATATTATATTTCTCTGAATCTTAGAAGTTCCTAATGATGAATCAGTGCTCAATCAATGTTGGCCCTCTGTGAGTTCTTGAGCCACAGAAGCAAATATTTTGGCACAAAATTATTTTTTAAATTTACATGGTGATAATAAAAACAAAATATTTCCGGGGTAAACATTTGCAGGGGTAGATCTTGTTATACTCTGAGCATATCTTGTTTAATGATCCCTTCCTGGATTCCGAATATGTTGTATAGTCTGGAGATAGATAATTTCAGTTATTGTATATATGTATATGTTTAATTCAGGTTGAAATTTCCGGGACAGAAATTATTATATCCAGGAACTATATTATGCAATAAACCATATTCTAAAATAAACCATATTCCTAAAGTATGCAAAATTCACCCCCAAAACAAATTAATGTAGAAGTCAAAATAGACATAAACATTGAGGTTACAGTGCCATAGTAGCAATATATTTGCTACAGTCCAGCATCTCTTGTAGGTAGAATATATTTACAAATCAATTTTCTTTGTAATGACTTGGCCAGGTTAGTTTAACATTGGAATTGTCACTCTTGCCCATCAGTTCTAGTCTCTTTATAATCCCGTGCCTAGTGTGGGAGCCTAAACTAAAAAGAGTAAAAGAAAGTTTGTTTGCCCATATTAACATGATTGAAAGGTCTAGATTTGCTCAGTTCAGGTTTATTTTTAAAAGTTGGTTAGTGAAATCATCTTGTTTTAAACTTATATATATATATATTTTGTTTTGTTTTGTTTTGTTTTGTTTTGTTTTGTTTTGTTTTGTTTTTTTGCTGTACGCGGGCCTCTCACTGTTGGGGCCTCTCCCGTTGTGGAGCACAGGCTCCGGACGCGCAGGCTCAGCGACCATGGCTCACCCGCCCAGCTGCTCCGCGGCATGTGGGATCTTCCCGGACTGGGGCACGAACCCGTGTCCCCTGCATCGGCAGGCGGACTCTCAACCACTGCGCCACCAGGGAAGCCCTAAACTTTTATATTTTTTAAAGCATAAATTATTAACTTTTTATTTTAAACCATTTTAGAGCTATCCTGTAGATATAGTCTCTGACTAAAAATTATTATAGAGTTTCAAAAAAATCTGGTATCACTTTCATCAATTGGAAAATGCTCAGAAAAATAGCATTAATGTACTGCCTTCTTAGTCACATTTAAAAAATGTGTAGATAAACTTATACCACAGAAAACTCATGTTTATTTTTTAGGAGAAAAAGTGATTGTAAACAAACAAACAAACAAACATTTCCTGATTTTTATGTTTCCAATAGTTCATGCTATAGTGTTGAGTTTGATTCTCGTTCCTGGAATCTCCAGACGTCACGACTGGTTTCCATTATATCCAAACTCTAACCTTCACGGGTTCTGAAACAATCTGACCCTAGGGTAGGAGAAATAAAAAGACCAGTGATTCCTAGATCATCCGCTTACTTACCACCAAGCCAACTTCCTGCTTGTCCAATTTTGAACTGATGCTCTGTTCCCCAAATTTGGCTCTTGTATTCTTTCTTGTGATCAAACAACCACCTTCTTCTTTAGTTCCCTTAATTGTACATCTGTTTTGTTCCTCATGCCTGAATTCTGGCCTTGATATCCATGTTCTCCAGCAACTTGGGTTCTATCTTGCTTCTTGGTCCTTCCAATTTTCTGCAAATTTTTACTCTGTACCGTGGTCTTAATATTTGTGGAGCCACTACCTATTGTCAGAGTTCTAGGACAAGAACCTACATACCTGAAAAATGTTTAACATTTAACTCCTTGGAAAAATGCCCTAATTTGTTGTGTTTGTTTCTAGACTCCCTTGGACCTTTCAGATATAAATTTCCTATGTTCCTATTTGTCTAGACTTCCTTAATCTGTTGTTCCACATTACCTTCTAATTTCCTAGTCTCTAATTCTCAGTCATTCCCTTTCTGGGTCATCACTCCATAAATATGGATTCGCATCTCCATTGAATCTAGTAATAGCTGATAACTGGTACATTTAACATGATCTAATAGCTCATAATTATAAAATATTGCCAATTAAAATGCTCTTTAAACAAATAGTTTGTGCTGATCTTTTTAACCCATTAGTTAAAGAATATTTAAGCATAATCTATTAGCAACCTATTACTATAATGAAGGCTTTATAATTTTGTCCCACCAAAGAAAAATGCCTCTTTTAAAATAAGTTTAGTTACTACTTCAACTGTATGCTTCTTCACAATTTCTTTGTATATCAACTGGAATGCTGCAATGTCAGACAATCTCCTGATCTGTAAAATGGTATTATTATGATTTTAACATGAGATTGCACATGCAGTGTGCATGGAACCTGGCACCTAGTAAACACGCAAAATGTTAGCTATTAGAAATAGAAATACATTAATGATGAATAGTGATTACTATTTTCTTTTGTTATGTTTATATTTTATTGAATTATTAATCACAATATTAGATACACATTTTGACTTGGACTTAATGCTTTGAATTTAACCACTCCAACTGCTTCTTAATAGCTAACTTATTGAGGCACAGTCAGTGATAATTGGTAAGTGAACTTCCAGAAGTCAATCTAGAACAAACTGGGGTTTGTAAAAATAACTGTCCTCTTGGAAAAAACAGAGTTTGAGTAGAAGATCTGACACGGTTTTTTTTTAGCAATAATAGAAGAATTATCATCTCTTGGAGAGTTGTCACTTATCTCATGCTTCTTAACGTGATAACAAATATTTCAAGATGCATCTTAGGCTGAGCTAAGTGTTACATTTTTTACAATCCCCTTCAAGTTGGCAGCTTTGTTATTCATATCCACCTTGGCTTATAAATGCAAACTTCAAATATTTTAAAATGTTATGTGGTTACCGAAATAAAGTGCCAGGTGTACATGTCAGTCAGTCTTGTGAGATTAATGAAATGTACTTTAGTTGTAATAGTGGAAGAATAAGTGGGACTATTAGTCGTGACATTTTGGTATTGATATATACACACAGTCTTTCATGAAAAAGATCAAAAACAAGAAAAACAATAATAACAATATAAATTTTGAAGTTTATTAGTCACAAAAATCAAACAAGTTACACATGGAAAATGTTTTTATATTCCTGAACCTTAAAATCTTGCCTTGTCCTGTTAAGAAAAATTAAATGTTACTACCTGAATATGCCAGTAACTATGTCTTTTTTATTTAGTTAAATTCAAAGAAATAGTCTAACCATAAAGGGTGTTTATAATGCACGTTTCCAAATAGAGGTAATAAAATACGCAAATTTCCTACAATGTAACATTAAGTATGTGTGAACGTCTGTATGTGTAAAATTAAATACAAGTTACTTGTATCACTATTACAAATGGAACAAGTTTTTCTCACAGTTAATATTTCTTAAGTTATCCTACTATGGTTCACAGAGAAGTTTCAAGTTTGAAAACTAGCATGAGGGACTTCCCTGGTGGTCCAGTGGCTAAGACTCTGTGCTCCCAATGCAGGGGGCCCGGGTTCGATCCCTGATCAGGGAACTAGATCCTACATGCCACAACTAAGAGTTCACATGCCGCAACTAAATGAATAAATAAATATTAAAAAAAAGAAAATTAACATGACTTTTTACATTTTAAAGAAGCTGTTTTTTTAATTGAGGTAACATTGGTTTATAAGTTTATGTACGTTTCACGTGTACAGCATTACAATTTGAATTCTGTATACACTACACCACCAAAAGTATACTTTCCATCCACCACCCTTAAATTGACCCATTTTACCTATTTTACACTCCCCTACACCCTGCCCTTCTGGTACCACAAATCTGTTCTCTGTATCTATGTGTTGTTGTTTTATTTCTTTGATTGTTTTGGGTTTTTAAAAAATATTCCGCATGAATGAAATCATACAGTATTTGTTTTTCCCTGACTTATTTCACTTAGCATAATATCCTCAAGTTCCGTCAATGTTCTTGCAAGTGGCGAGATTCATCTTTTTTGTGGCTGAGTAGTAGTCCATTGTGTACGTGTATGTGTGTGTATATATATACATACATATGTATATATACACACACGTGTGTGTATATATGTATATATATTTATACACACACCACATTTTATTTATCCATTCATCTATCAACAGGCACTTAAGTTGTTTCCATATCTTGGGTATTGTAAATAATGCTGTGAAGAGCATAGGGGTACATATATCTTTTTGAAATTAGCATTTTCATATTCTTTGGATAATTACCCAGAAGTTATATAACTGGATAATATGGTAGTTCTATTCTGAATTTTTTGAGGAATCTCCATACTGTTTTGCATAGTGACTGCACCAATTTACATTCCCATCAACAGTGTATAAGGGTTCATTTTTCTCCACATTCTCACCACCACTTGTTATTTCTTGTCTTTTTGACAATAGCCATTTTTAAGGGGGTTGGTGATATCTCATTGTGGTTTTAATTTACATTTCCCTAATAATTAGTGATATTGAGAATTTTTCATGTGCCTACTGGCCATCTGTCTGTCTTCTTTGCAAAAATGCCTGTTTGGGTCCTCTGCCCTTTTTATAATCTGATTGAGTTTTTGTTGTTGTTGACTTGCATGAGTTCTTTATACATTTTGTATATTAACCCCTTATTGAATATATGATTTGCAAATATGTTTTCCCACTCACTACATTGTCTTTAGTTTTTCTTTTTTTTTTTTTTAGTGAAACAAGTAAAATGTTTATTAGGAGGAAAAACGGTACGTGCGAATAGACCCGCACAGGCGGGCTCAGAGAAAGAGTCTCGCCCTCATGCTAGTTTGAATCACTTATATGGGGCATTTCTTCCAAGTTTCCTCTGGCCACTCATATTGCTGTGTCTGGCTCTGAGTCCATATTTGGTTTACCTCAGGGTCCTCCTGTGTGTGTGCACATCTCTTAGCCAAGATAGATTCTATCAAAGAGGCCTATGGGTAGGTTGACATCACCTACTGTGGGGTGACGCCCCTTCCCTTTTGAGCTCCAAGGAGTCTTTCTGCACATATGTACTTGGAAAGGTCTCCTTGACCTTGAGAATAAGGCATATGTGGTCTCTTTATCTTTTATCTGGGCAGGGCTCAGCTTCTCCTCCCTCCAGCTATTGTCTTCATCTTGGAGTATCTGTCCAGAGGGGACAAGCTCCAGCTGCTCAGTTTCAGGTCCATCTATCTCCTGCCTCAGGATCACAGAGTGAATGAGAGAGTGAACAAGATTTACACCCAGGCAAGTCTGATTCCTGGGCCCTCACACCCACAGGAATTTCACTTCCTGTTCTACTCAGAACTCAGTGATTGTACTGGTGTTTCTTTTTTAATATATTTTAATTTTATATATATATATTTTTATCATCTTTATTGGAATATAATTGCTTTACAATGTTGTGTTAGTTTCTGCTGTATAACAAAGTGAACCAGCTATATGTATACATATAGCCCCATATGCCCTCCCTCTTGCATCTCCCACCCACCCTCCCTATCCCATACCTCTAGGTGGTCACAAACCACCGAGCTGATCTCCCTGTGCTATGCAGCTGCTTCCCGCTAGCTATCTATTTTACATTTAGTAGTGTATATATGTCCATGCCACTCTCTCACTTCGTCCCAGCTTACCCTTCCCCCTCCCCATATCCTCAAGTCCATTATCTAGTAGGTCTGTGTCTTTTTCCTTGTCCTGCCCCTAGGTTCCTCAGAACCTTTTTTTTTTTTTTTAGATTCTATATATGTGTGTTAGCATACGGTATTTGTTCTTCTCTTCCTGACTTAGCCTCACTCCGTATGACAGACTCTAGGTCCACCCACCTCACCACAAATAACCCAATTTTGTTTCTTTTTATGGCTGAGTAGCATTCCACATCTTCTTTATCCATTCATCTGTCGATGGACACTTAGGTTGCTTCCATATCCTGGCTATTGTAAATAGAGCTGCAATGAACATTTTGGTACATGACTCTTTTTGAATTATGGTTTTCTCAGGGTATAGGCCCAGTAGTGGGATTTCTGGGCGTATGTTAGTTCTAGTTTTCATTTTTTAAGGAACCTCCATACCGTTCTCCATAGTGGCTGTATCAATTTACATTCCCACCAACAGTGCAAGAGGGTTCCCTTTTCTCCACACCCTCTCCAGCATTTATTGTTTGTAGATTTTTTGATGATGGCCATTCTGACTGGTGTGACGTGATACCTCACTGAAGGTTTGATTTGCATTTCTCTAATGATTAGTGATGTTGAGCAGCTTTTCATGTGCCTCTTGGCCATCTGTGTATCTTCTTTGGAGAAATGTCTGTTTAGGTCTCCTGCCCATTTTTGGATTAGGTTGTTTGTTTTTTTGATATTGAGCTGCATGAGCTGCTTCTGTATTTTGGAGATTACTCCTTTGTCCGTTGACTCGTTTGCAAATATTTTCTCCCATTCTGAGTCTTGTCTTTTCATCTTGTTTATGGTTTCCTTTGATGTACAAAAACTTTGAAATTTCATTTGGTCCCATTTGTTTATTCTTCTTTATATTGCCCTTTCTCTAGGAGGTGGGTCAAAAAGGATCTTGCTGTGATTTATGTCATAGACTGTTCTGCCTATGTTTTCCTCTGAGAGTTTTATAGTGTCCGGCCTTACATTTAGGTCTTTAATCCATTTTGATTTTATTTTTGTGTATGGTGTTAGGGAGTGTTCTAATTTCATTCTTTTACATGTAGCTGTCCAGTTTTCCCAGCACCATTTACTGAAAAGGCTGTCTATTCTCCGTTGTATATTCTTGCCTCCTTTATCAAAGATAAGGTGACCATATGTCCGTGGGTTTATCTCTGGGCTTTCTATCCTGTTCCATTGATCGATATTTCCGTTTTTGTGCCAGTACCATACTGTCTTGATTACTGTAGCTTGCTAGTATAGTCTGACATCTGGGAGCCTGTTGCCTCCAGCTCCATTTTTCCTTCTCAAGATTGCTTTGGCTATTCGGGGACTTTTGTGTTTCCACACAAATTGTGAAATTTAGTTTTGTGGAAAATGCCATTGGCAGTTTGATAGGGATGGCATTGAATCTGAAGATTGCTCTGGGTAGTATAGTCATTTTCACAATGTTGATTTTTCCAATCCAGAAACATGGTATATTTCTCCATCTGTTTGTACCATCTTTAATTTCTTTCATCAGTGTCTTATCATTTTCTGCATACATGTCTTTTGTCTCCTTAGGTAGGCTTATTCCTAGGTATTTTATTCTTTTTGTTGCAGTGGTAAATGGGAGTGTTTCCTTGATTTCACTTTCAGATTTTTCGTCATAAGTGTATAGGAATGCAAGAGATTTCTGTGCTTTAATTTCGTATTCTGCTACTTTACCAAATTCATTGATTAGCTCTAGTAGTTTTCTGGTGGCATTTTTAGGATTCTCTATGTATAGTATCATGTGATCTGCAAACAGTGACAGTTTAACCTCTTCTTTTCCAATTTGGATTCCTTTTACTTCTTTTTCTTCTCTGTGTTGAAAACTGTGTTGAATAATAATAGTGAGAGTGGGCAACCTTGTCTTGTTCCTGATCTTAGTGGAAATGGTTTCAGTGTTTCACCATTGACAACGATGTTGGCTTGTCATATATGGCCTTTATTATGTTGAGATAAGTTCCCGCTATGCCTACTTTCTAGAGAGTTTTTATCATAAATGGCTGTTGAATTTTGTCAAAAACTTTTTCTGCATCTATTGAGATGATCATATGGTTTTTATTCTTCAGTTTGTTAATATGGTTTATCACATTGATTGATTTGCATATATTGAAGAATCTTTGCATTCCTGGGGTAAACCCCACTTGATCATGGTGTATGATCCTTTTAACGTGCTTCTGGATTCTGTTTGCTAGGATTTTGTTGAGGATTTTTGCATCTACGTTCATAAGTGATATTGGCCTGCCGTTTTCTTTTTTTATGACATCTTTGTCTGGTTTTGGTATCAGGGTGATGGTGGCCTCGCAGAATGAGTTTGGGAGTGTTCCTCCCTCTGCTGTATTTTGGAAGAGTTTGCGAAGGATGTTCGCTCTTCTCTAAATGTTTGATAGATTTTGCCTGTGAAGCCATGTGGTCCTGGGCTTTTGTTTGTTGGAAGATTTTTAATCAGAGTCTCAATTTCAGTGCTTGTGATTGGTCTGTTTATATTTTCTATTTCTTCCGGGTTCAGTCTTGGAAGGTTGTGCTTTTCTAAGAATTTGTCCATTTCTTCCAGGTTGTCCACTGTATTGGCATATAGTTGCTTGTAGTAATCTCTCATGATCCTTTGTATTTCTGCAGTGTCAGTTGTTACTTCTCCTTTTTCATTTCTACTTCTGTTAATTTGAGTCTTTCCACTTATTTTCTTGATGAGTCTGACTAATGGTTTTTCAATTTTGTTTATCTTCTCAAAGAACCAGCTTTTAGTTTTATTGATCTTTGTTATTGTGCCCTTCATTTCTTTTTCATTTATTTCTGATCTGATTTTTATG